AATCTTGGACTTGAACATGGGCCTTCTGTCTCCCGGAGGCCTCCCACATCCTGGGCTCAGGAGAGCCCAGGACACTTCCTACAGTGGTTTGGTGGTACTCACTGGGCTGGTTGCGCTCGTTGGGTGGGTGTGGCTGAGGTCCGAGACCCCCACCCTCAGGACTGGTTGCGGGTGTCAGGGGGCATTGCTGAGGCCCCTGGCCCAACCCCCTTTCTGGTTTGGTAGCCCAGGGGACTTCCGGTCCTTCTAGCTGTTATAGGTGTTCTTTGGTGAAATCAGACCTTTACTAGTTAATGTGAAACTTTGTCTCTGGTTATGGGTACTTTGTTTTTTCTTTCAGTTCTGTGTTGGATTATTTGCTGCTCCCACCACTCAAATTCTGCGCTAGAACTAATTTGTTGTCCTTTGCTTACTTCTAAAATGGTGAACTTTCTGTGGAGACCGGTATTTGAGCTCTGTGGTTGAGCTAAATTGCTGCTTTGCTGCTGATTCCCTGGGGAAGTCTTCTTGTGCAGCTCAGGTTTTAATGGCTGACTTCACAGGTACTTCCAGTTCTAGTGAAATCTGGTGCACCTGCGTTGTGTAGAAACACCGGTCTGGGCCTGAGCCTTTTCATCAGACTTTTCCCCCTGCAGTTCTATATTTCTTAACAGTCTCCTCTGAGTGGTCCTATACTGATTGGGGAGCAGATCAGCTGTCCTTGCTGTGCCCCAGCGTTCCCCTGGTGGGCCCATCTCCCCCACCACCTGTGCTCCAAATACTTCCCATGGGACGGGCCGTGCTCCGGTCCCTTGTGATGCCATGCTCTGGTCCCTTGTGATGACTCACTGGCCTCTGAGTGGTTCCTTTTTTTCAGTTGTTGTGGCTCCTCAGTCCTATGTGGGTCCACAGAAACCCTATTAGTGGTCATGCTGTCCTGGGGGCCACCAAGGCCCTCTTCTCCCCTGCCGCCTCCAAGCAACTCCATCCAAGGGGCACAGCTGTGGGTTTTGCCAGCTCCTGATCTGTGTGCTCAGCAGCTCCAGCATGGATGTGGCTGGGGCTTGAAATGGTCAGAGCGGTTTTCTCTTTCTCTCGTCACTGCTTCTCCCACCTTCACGCTCTCCATAGGTCTCTCTTCCTCTTCCCCTGAGCTCTAGTGGCCCCAGCTTGGCTGTCATTGCTTTTATATAGTTGTAAATTACAGAGCGGTTTTCTCTTTCTCTCGTCACTGCTTCTCCCACCTTCACGCTCTCCATAGGTCTCGCTTCCTCTTCCCCTGAGCTCTAGTGGCCCCAGCTTGGCTGTCATTGCTTTTATATAGTTGTAAATTAGTTGTTTTCTCAACATTATCTCTCAACCCTTCCAGCAGTGATGGTCTGGGAGTTTATTACTTCTGACCTCAGGTACCCACTTCCTATGCCCAGTTTCAGTGACCAAAGCCCTTTCTCAGAAGGACTCAAACTGCACTTTTTATTTTCCATTTGGCTTTCTAACCTACCACATTCAGGGGAGGGAAGATTCCTTGGGGCATGCTTTATACACTAATTGGAAACTAAAGAGTGCTACCAATTACTGAGTGCCTTCCAAGCTACAGATGCCAACATCACAAGGTTGAAGTGACTTGCTCAAGACTATACAGGTAGGAAGCAGTAGAAGTGGATCCAGACCCAGAACTGTCTGCTCCCAAAGTTCATGCTCTTTCTAAAAACTCCCACTCTAGTAAAATAGGCAGGCAAACACAAGCCAAACATGCAAGTGGTACAGGCCCACTGCCAAGGAAGGGGTTTGGGCGGAAAGTGTGACTGGAGGTTGGAGGCGGGAGAACTCTCTTATTGCTGAGCTGCTCCCAGAAAGCTTTCTGAGGCTCGATGTATATGAAGATGTGAAAGTTGGAGGTCATGCTGGAGCCAGGTGTTTTCTTGGGTTGGAGCAATAGTCAGGGGTAGTGGCAAACTTATACTGCCACCTTGCTCATGCAGGACAGCAAGGACCAACAGCATGGGAGGCAGGATCTCTGACCTCATGAGCC